GCTTTTACAGCTCCAAATAGAAAAGGCAAGCTTTACACTGAGATTTCAGGGAGTTCCAGAGACTAAAGGGGAGAATCTTAAACAGATTTTGAGTGATGCTTTGGGACCGGTTGCAGATTTAAAAGTGGATTTTCTTCAAGGCAAAATGGATGTGATCTATAGGTCATATTCAGAATACATAAAGAAAAATAATCTGCCCAGCGAGGTGGTGATAAGATTCTCCAGAAGATACGTGAGGGACCAGATTTTAAAAGCAACAAATGGAACTACCCTTAAAATTGATGGAAAGGAGATAAGAGTTTTGAAAGACATTCCTTTTGAAATAAGGGGGAAAAGGAAAAAATACCAAGACTTGGCTTTGTTTCTAAAACCCCCCACCATATTCTACAAATGGATTGTACCCGAAGGTATTCTCTTCAAATTTAAAGATGAGGGGAAAATTGACTCTGTTATGAAAGCAAGAGAGTTTTTGCAGCAACAGTTGGATCCAACAGGAGAAGAGGATGAGAAGAGCAATAAGGGGAATGATGATAAAACTCTTACTGGAAAAGACTCGGATTCGGAACGTGGGGTGGCTGCCCCCAAGCAAGGATATCAATTGAGGGAAAGAAGAGGCAAATGAGATGCTAATTTCCTCTGAAGTTTGACTTTTGATTCTTATTATTTAACCGTTCTTTTGTATGGTTCTTTACTAAGTCAGAATACCTGGACTTGAAATACTTAAGCGATTCTAATGATCACCTTCAATGTAACAAATTAGTCTTTTTTATTTAAAGCTATTTTATTGTAAGCATTATATGACCACCACCTCTTGGGTTTTTAGTGGTTTATCTTTACTTTCTCCCGTAGTTTATAGTTTCCCTATCCCTATTTTCTTGTAGTTTTCAGAAAATTAAGAAAAAATACTAGCATGTTTTTATTCTAGGATTGCCAAAAGGTTTGGAGACAATTGTCCTGTCCCTTTAACAGAGGCTTAATGCATGGAAGTGGGCTGCTGAAGCTTTTCATGGTAGATGCCATCATCTGGTAAATTAACTTCCTAGTCAGCTTCTGTTGCAGTGGCAGGATGTTTTTTTCTCCAAGCAGTTAGCGGCAACCTTATTCTCTAGAAGCATAAGCTTTGGTGGACTGGAGCCCACTTTGTGAGAGGCATATAGTGAATCCTTACTAGGCACGCATACTGGCACAAGCTTATGATAAAAACAAGTGGTAAACATCAGGATCACAAATGGCTGCAAATAGCAGGTGAAATGAAATAATGTAAAATTCGTTTTGTAATAGCGTTTTTAAACTAGTTAACATCTGTGACAACTGGGGAATCCCAAGCTAGTAACAGTAGTTCTAATGTAAACTAAACTCAAGGATTCTAAACTGTGGCAGATCTCCCAAGAGAAATGTGGTGGAATTGATGGGAAAACCAGAGTGCTGCTTTGGCCCCCCCCCCTCTATCTTTGCTCCCTCCACTGCTCCTTTCATATCTGTAGCCGTTGTCCAGAAGGCATCATATTAAGAGGAGAATATTGATCCCTGCTAGCCTAGTTTGTCTTTAGTGACAACCAGGGAGGCCCAACCCATTTTTTTTAAAAAAACCTAGGGGATACTGCCAAACTCGCTGTGCTGCAAAAAAAAAAATTGTAGTTCAAAACAGCTGCACTGGGATGCGCATTTCTCCCTCACCCCCTTGTAGAGCCAATAATAGATTCGGGGAATAGCATGGTAGGGAGAGGCTTAACCTCCTCTCTGCTTATCTCCTTCCTCAATCAAATCAGTAGCTCCACACAGCTGCTTTGAAGCAATCAATAAAGCAGGACCTTCTGCATCTGGCCTATTTCCCCACAGTTATTTAAGACTGCATCTCATACTGCCATCCTGTGGAAGTTCCGTGAGCTGCCTTTGCTGGTAAAGTTGGATGTGATGGAAGTCATATGAGACATGAAAAATGTGGATGGCACATACAGACCTGCCTATGCTTGGGAGCAGTGTTCCCTCTAAGCTGAGTTAGTGTGAGCTAGCTCACAGTTTTTTAGTCTCTGGCTCACACATTATTGTCTTAGCTCAGGAAGTATGGCTCCAGAGCAAACTAATTTATGCAGTAGCCAAATCTCTCGCTCACAACTTTAATACTAGTAGCTCACAAAGTAGAATTTTTGCTCACAGGACTCCACAGCTTAGAGGAAGCATTGGTCTGGAGATGAGCTGTGTTAAACATGGTAGGACTGATGTCTGAGTTAAGACTGCCCAACCTAAAGTCTTCAGCTGACTTATACCTCCTTCCTCTGTATTTGCAGCCCCAAATTCCCATTGCATTTAAACTTTATAGGAGCATCTAAAGGGCGGGAAAGCGCAACAAAATTGTAAATGCATGACTATATCTGTATTTCTCCACTTAAAAGGAAAACAGTGGAGGTGGCTATTGTATTTTTCCTGGCCATTTCTAGGCAGTCAGCCAGTCTGCATAGCCTACCTCCATTACGCTGTGTGCAAATTTCTGGGAAAGAAAAAGAAGTGTTATGTGTTGTTGCTGTCAAACTGAGTAAAGAAGAGTACAGATAAGGATAGGGGTGTAGTTACTGAAAAAGAGCATAAAGGTGTTAACTGAAGGAAGG